TAAATGAATTTAATTTTAATTTAAAAAATGAATCATTAATGAATTAAATGAATTTAATTTTAATTTAAAAAATGAATTATTAATGAATTTAATTTTAATTAATTGGTTGTTATTGACACGAGAGTTCTCATCTTGATTTTCCTCTAATTCAATAATAATATTATTATTATTACTCATTTTTTAATAATTATTATTATACTATTTATTATTTATTATTAATGCCACCACTATTTATTATTATTAATGCCACCACTATTATTATTAATGCTACTACTATTATTAGTACCACAACTATTATTATTATTTATCATTAACACCATCCCACTATTATTATTCGTTATTAATACCACCACTAATACTATTGTTAAAATATTTTTTCACGGATATTAATATTCACAAATACAAATATTTCTTCTCAATATCCGTCGATCAACAGTGAGATAAAATTAATTCATGGATACTATTCGACGAATATAACCACTAAATTAAACACATAATGCTTTTCTAAACCAATGGTACGATTCAAAATGATAATTTGTGTAAATAAAATGTTTTTTACCATTTTTAGTAATTGTCAATTAGCAAACTAAACGCATAACAATTTCATTAAAAAGTAAACAAATAGATGGACGCTTTTCTTATAAAAATAAAATAAACAAATCAATAGTATGATCTTCATCACATTAATTAAATATTAAATGTAAGGTAATCCATTCATTAATTATAGTAATAGGATTATCGGTTTAATAATATTGTTATTATAGGATTTTACAAAGTAATATTTTGTCACCGCAGAAATCATCGTTCCTGATACATCGTAGACGTAAAGTTTCCTTGCACAGGTGTACGACCACAACGAACTCAATGGTATGAAGTCAGTCGTATGTATGTACAAAGATTCTTGTCGTGCAGCGAAATTGGCCTAATGTTACACTAATTAATATAACACCAATAGATTGGAATTACTGTCTTAAACGAAGGAATTCAAATTAATTTTGACATGTATAAATAACGTTGTGATTTCCTACTTCACATAATCTTTAGCTAATCACATCACTGTCTTGTAACAATAATATCAAAATAATAAAATACAAAAATAATTAATTAATCACTATCTTACCAGGATAAATATAGTTGTGTATATTTTTCTTTGATTTTATTTTTTTATTTAGCGTAAAAAGAGCAAACCCTAGCTAGGTGCAGCCAGTCTAACTTTGAGCCTAAACATAAATAAACAAAGCCCAAACCTATCAATTTCTATTGTTTAGACGAAATGTCTTGCTCTTACACATTAATTAAACTCGCTTGTGTTTTACAATCCATTATTATCATCTTTTTCTGCATAAATTATTATGGTGGGTTCAAATTTCCATCTCTATAATATATTTATTTACTAAATTCTACAGAAATTATGCAGAATGCGTGCAATTTTTATGTTTTATGAAAAGACTACTACACGTAGAAAGTATTCAGATTCGCTCATTCTGCATGATTTCTATATGACTTTGATAAATTTGTATATTTTTTATATATTTTATTTTTATGGGACACATGTATATTTATTCACACACATCAAACCTAACTATATTTTCAGTCAAAGATTTCCATCAAATTCCCGATAAATATGACGATTTTCAAATTGAGCCAACCACCATAACCAATGCTACAAAATTAAATCAAACAATTGCACCGACAGCTTCAAAGCCGAAAGCAAAAAAGATAAGACCCATTCTCCAGAAAAATAAAAAACCTACCCCTGAACAAATCCGGGCATACCAAGACCAGCCAATCCCATTCAAATCTAAAATGGAATGTAAAAGTTATCATGAACAAAATGGAATCTCTTCTAAAGAATTGTGGAATTGGCCATCAGTCCGTGTTTTTGTTGGTATATGGACGACAGCAGAAAAGCATGAAATTCGAAGTATAATACGAGCTATAAATTTAAAGCAACAAGAAAATTTGATTGGTGACAATGTGGATTTCAAGTTTATCCTTGGAAAACCACCGAAACGTGTGTACACACCCGATTTGAAATTAAAATTGACTACTGAGAATGATACCTATGGCGATCTTGTAATACTAGACATGGAAGAGAATATGAATAATGGCAAAGCGTATTATTACTGGAGGTGGGTTTGGGAACACCTTGGTACCATGAAATATGATTATGCAACAAAGGCAGATGATGATGTATTTGTACACTTTCAAAATCTGGCACTTAACCTTCGACCATTGCCACGAGATAATGTGTATTACGGATGTGAGCATAGGTACTATATGACAGGTATGCTTGTAGCTCTCTCAATGAATTATCCAAAACTGATTACAAAAACACCATTCAAAAAAGCTGAATGGAAAGGGCCCGAAGACATGATGTTGGGACAATGGCTAATTAATCATGCAAATTCAACTTTAAATCCAATTGATGAACATTGCTTACTTTTTCAAGACCCAAGGATCCCAGTAGTTTATGTTGTAGAGAGACAATGGGCATCACCACAATCGATTGTCATACATTGGCTAAAAGACCCCCATGCATGGAAAGGTGTCATCGATTTATATATTCCAGGTGGTATAAAAGATTTGATAGGTATATAATAGTTTTGGTGTATGTAATCTTCTGTATTTATTGAATTTTTCATCATAATTCTTTATATTAATTAATAAAGCATCAATCAGTGTAGGAAATTGAATGTTACATAAAAAATGTGCAAATTTTGTTGATCACCACAAACTGAGGATGGAATGCTGCAAGCTTTTGCTACGCGAGAGCAAAAATTCATTTATTTTAAATTGGGTTTGGATTTCATTTTCTTTCCCACAAAAAGCAAAAAAATAACACCATTCAGGCCAAGATAATAGTCTATTTTATTAAGTTCAAAACATATAAATACGCTCAATTTTTTTTTTTTTTTTTTTTTGAAAAACTTGAGAAACAAAATCGGATCTTTTTAATCTTTATTTCCCTCGTGTAACCTCATTTATACCATTTTTCAGTTCGTACTTATACCCACTAGAAAAATTCAAGTTTAGTTAAATTTTATGATAGTCTATTTCTATTATTTATAAAATGCAAAACATTATAAACAAATATTGAAAATACAATTATTTGAAGTAATGAGTATTTAATAGTAATAGATATTAATAGTAATATTATGACATTTAATAAATTTAAATTTATGTCCTTCAATTTCATTATTGGAAATATCATTGAATGCATGATGTGAATCAATACTTTTATTTGAATCAAAAGCATCACTGGAAATACTAAATTCATCAACGCTAATTAGTATCACTGGAAATTGCATCTTGATCTTGTAACATTTACTGATTTTGAATCATTATCCGAAATATCTGGAAGAGTGAGTTTAGCTACAGTGATCCTTTGATTTTCATTTTGTAATCTATAACAATTAAGTTCAGTAATAGAACAATGTAAAGTTATGTTCAACTTAGATTCCTATAATAAATATAAAAATATATAAAAAAAATATCTCCTCATTTTTAAATATTAAAATTACCATTGTTATTTTGTAAATTTAGAATGTGTAATAGTTTTTTAGTAATAGTAATGATAATAGTGGAGCAATGTAACATTCTGCAAAGCGAGATGAAATATATAAATTTAGAAAAGAATAAATTAATTTGTTATTAACCACCCAACAAGTCTTCTTGATAGTGGAAAAAGTTACACATAAAAAGGACATAAAATGATGGGGGATAAATTAGTTAAACCCTGGGATAATGCAAGTTTAAACTAAATTTTACGAAGTAAAATTGAACTTATACCCATACTACCCAGGGCTTAACCATTAATTAACATCCTCAAAAAATATGATTCATTGTTGTTGTTTGTTACTTGTTGCTATAATAATAGTGCTGGAGACTCACGTTAAAAAAAAAAAATCAATTCGCGTCAACAAAAAAAACCAATAGGGGATTCCATACATTAACAAGTTTTGTAATCGAGGATGTGCAAGTGAGCAAAGAGACCATTCTGGGAACACAAAATTTTTAACCCACGCAATTTGTTGATTGACCAATTAAAATCGTGAATTTGATAACGTAGAAATAAATATGGGTTTGATTCATTTTGTCAA